GGATGCAGTTTAATCAAATCTCAGCAATCTGGAATAAGATCCTACAATGAATAACAGAATCCCAGAATAGAATCCAGAATGGACCACAGGACCCTGGAATCCACACGGGGCCGATGCCTCCAATTGTCACAGGGATTCTCTGCTGGCCTGTCACACCCAGGGTGGGGATCCTGGAGATGGAAGAAAGTCCCACTCCGGTGACAAAAGGCAACAGGTCCAGTTCCCACCTCGAGGATGGCAAGGGGTTGGGTGGCCATTTGAGGCAACACTATCTCTTTCTTTGTGAAGGTCTTGAGAGTGAGGGATGAGCCAGATCAGTCAGTAGCCATACTGCTCATCTGAGCATTCTGGAAAGGGATGAGTTTGAGTTTGTCAGACTGTGAACCTCCCACAAGAGGCCCCTCCCTGAACCCTCTTCTGTGTACACAGGGGTATCTGAGGTGGTCCTTTTGCAGAACCCACCCCCACATCTCATGACTTAGTTCAGAGTTAAGCCAATCCTGGGAATGAGCAGGGGGCCCCTGAGGTGCCAAGTGTCTCAGGATATGGCTTTCGAGGCCTCAGTGTTCTCATCTGTAAAATGGGTTTGTTGTGTGTTTTGAGGGTCCTGTGAGCTGGGACACGCCAGAGGCTGAGCATGCTCTTGGCAAATACACAGCCAAATGAATGAACTCATGGTCCCAGGAGAGTCAAGCTGTGGGACTCTGGCCAGTCACGTCTCTTCCCAAGCTCGTGTTCTCCTGTGAAACGGGGACAGCTCAGACATGCCTGGCACAAGCTCTTGGGTTACTTCCCGTGCCGGGCACTCTGCCCAGCACGCCTGCCCCACTCTTGCCTGTGGGACAGGAGTCTGGAAACTATAGGTCTTGTCTTGTCTCACTTCGTTTTCCACTTGTGGACCCTATGCTGGGTCTTTCTCAGAAGGAGGTCTTAAAGCCCCTTACCCCAGCCCTGACCCTGGGAACCCCTCCAAAAGAGGAAAGGAATGTGTGCTAAGGTGGGGGGAGATGCTGTCATCAAGGCAATGACTGGGGAAAGCAACTGAAGCAGGGAGGATGGAGGGGAAGGCTTCAGGGGGAGGTTACATTCCAAGGGGCTTGTTGGGCAAGGATGGGGTGCACAGGGGTGTGTTCCAGTCCATTGTCCTCAGGGTGGGGGAGGAGAAAGGGGCAGGAATGGTTGGGACAGAGCAACCAAGTTGCCTTGGATGCCAGGATGAGGAGTTGGCACTCCACCCCAAGGGCAAAAGGGAGCCATGGCAGAATCTAGAACAGGAGAGGGGCTTGGGTGGGAGAGGAAGAGCATGGAATGCTAGCCCATGCAGCCCAGATAGGGGTTCACCTGCTTCATCCCCCTCTGCACCATCCAGAAATAAACCAGTCAGGGCTTTCTCTGGGCCCCCACACCTTCAAAATGCACAGCTTTGCAAACCCAGGAGAATATTTGGGGCCCCAGCCTGTCTACCAAAGGATCTTCCTGCAGTCCTTCCCCCAAATGGCATCAGTTTCCCCATCTTTCATATACATAATAAAGGACCCTATTTTCCCAACTGTGTATGACTTGGTTGTAGTCATTTAGCAAGAGCTGGGTGGCAGAGCAAGGACTGGGTTCCAGTCACTTAACGTGTGCCCGCCCAGAGCCCTAGTCCACCTGATCCTTGGCTGAAGGGATGGATGGGTTCTCAGAGACCCCCACTCCCCCTGAGAAAACTGGCAGGAGATCTGGTCTCTGCTTCTGATTTTCTCCTCTCCCTTTTTGATTTGCCCATCTGTAAAAGGGGCACATTTCCATTTCATAAAGTTGTTTGGAAATTAAATGAATCAATGGACATAGGTGTTGCTCCAATTTGTTCCTCATGCACCCTGCCACGAACTCCTATTCATACTATAAAACCCACTGCAAATTTTCCATCTTCAGTGCATCTCCAGAAAAGTTTTTGGCTCTTCACTGTTCTCTGCTCTAGGCTCTCCCAGCACTTGACCCTATGAGTCTGGAAGTGTCTGCATATCCTTCTGTTTCCCCCACTGCCTGACTAGTGGAATGCTCCCCAAGGTTGCAGAATTACTCAGCTTGAAGCACATGAGAATATTGTTGAGTGAGTGTAAAGAGGGAGGGAGAGGGCAAGGAAAGGAGAGCCAGGGAAGGTAGAGGAGCGAGGAAGGGCATTCAGCAGAGACCTTGGTGGGACAGATGGAGAAAGAGAACCGGAAGGAGGTGGGCAGAGCCAGAAGGGTGGGCAGGGGCGACAGGAGGGGTGGGGTGAGGGGAGACCCAGCTCTCCCCGGCACGCCTCCTCCTGGCTTGGGCGGGCAGCGCGGGCAGGGCCCGGCCTCTGGCGTGCGGATTGCCTGGGCGTTGGGCGCGGAGAGCGGAGAGCGGAGAGCGGAGAGCGAGGCGCGGAGCCCGAGCGTGCGCGCGTGTGCGCGCCTGTGCTCTCAGGGCCAGCCGGGCGGGCGGCGGCACATGGATGCCAGCCTGGCGCGCATCTCTAGGCCGGTGGGTAAGGCGAGGCGCGGGTCTGCGGGATGTGGATGGCCGGGCCTCAGAACCTCGACTTTCTAGTTGGGGACTGGAGAGGAAGGGGATGCCCACCAGGCTTCTTAGAGCCAGGCCAGGACCCCTTCCCTCCCGCTGAGCTGACCCAGGAGCGGGAAGGGGCCTCCTAGTAGCAGGCGGAATGTCCCAGGCTCTGCAGCAGGTGGGGGAGATGGGAAGCAGGTACCCAGGCCGAGAGAACGGGGTAAGGGTGGAGGGTGCCCTGATGGGGGCAGGTTCCCTCCCTGTGGTCCTCCTCCCTCGCTCCCTCCCTCGGCTCATCCATCTCCAGAAGATTATATTTAAATATCTCTTTTGTGCAAGGCAGGAGCTGGGCTCGCCCCTAAGAGGCGGTTTCCATGGCAACAACAATTGCCAGCTTCCGTGTGGTGAATCAGCGTTGCCATGGCAACCCCATCCTCATCTGCCCAAGGTGCTGGGAGGGGGGAGGAGGTGAGGGCCAGCGGAGGCGGGTGGGAGAGGTGCGGGAGAGGGAGACTGGAGCCCAGGTGCCCCCTCCCTCACATCTCCCTTCACCACTTCAGTCTGCCCTCAGCCCAGAAACTGGTCCCATCTGGTTGAAATAATCTCTCCTCAGGCCTCCAGCTAGGGGGGTGTGGTACCCAGGTGAAGAGGGTCCGAGATGTGTGTGCGCGTGCACGCGCGCGTGTGTGTGTGTGTGTGTGTGTGTGTGTGTGTGTGTGGTTGGGGAAGGGAGATGTTGTTAGACCTTTCCCAGGTGGTCAGTGTCCCTCTGAGGGTGTGGTTGGGTGGCAGGAGGATTGCACTGGGGGAGTTGGGGGCCAAGATGGGGAAATAGAAACCCCTTGAGTTCTGGGGCTCCCAAGGCTGAGTTCATATTGAGGAGGCCCAAATATGCTTCAAACACACACTTGAAATGGGGTAGCATATCAATGGGGGGTGCCCACCGGGGGAAGGGGAGTAGAAAAATACCCCTCCAGGCCTTGATTTTGACATCTGTAAAAAACAGGGTAAAAATTGTGCCTCTCTCTCTAAAAACTTGCCGGGCAGGTGTGTTGTGATTAGAAAACACTTACCAAGTATCATCAAGTACCTCCGAATGGTTGTGGGGATCTACTCCAAGACTGACTTGGGAGGGGGGCTGGGACCAGCACTTGTTCCGACCCCAGGCCTGGTGGAGAGGGACCAGGTGCCTTTCTGTGATGGTGGGTGTTGACCACTTCCTTCTGGTCACTTCAGTTCAGCAAACTCTGATTCTCTCCTGTACCCTGCCCTGAAGGATGGGGAGTAATGTGATGGTCTCAGTCTGGAGGGAAAGAGAAACGTGGAGACATCTCTTGCCCTGAGGCAGAGAGAAGAAGGGGCCCCAAGAGGTGGAAGGGTTGCCTGCATGGGGGCTTTTGAACTGGGATGAACAGTTTACCAGAGACACCAGGTTGGGAAGAAGATTCTTTCCTAGAGCCAAGAGAGAAGTAAATGCCACCCAACCCCACATCCCTCAAGTTGGTTCTGAAATACTTGCATTAGTTCATACCCAGGGCTGGGTAAGTTGCAGGAGCGGGAGTTAGGGAAGAATTTCTTCCACTGAATAGTTCATTGGTTTCTTCCAGTTTCAGTGCTGGGGGGTGATGGACAGAAGTGTCCAGAACAATGAGGCCAGATTGAAGGCTGGTCCATTCAAGTATGACAGTTCCCCTGACTTGTGGCTCAGGGAGCTGGCTAAAAGTAGCTGCCTTGGTGTGCCAGTCAGCTGATGCTGAGTAATAAACTGCCTCAACTATTTTCTTTACTCATGATTCCATGGGTTGGCAAGCCCAGGGTGGGCTTAAGTGGACAATTTGGCTGATTCGTCCTGAGTCATTCATGCAGCTGTAGTCAATTGGGGCTTGACTGGGGTTAACTGGGCTGGGACCCCCATGAGCTGTCTGCAGGGCATCTCTGGGCATGAGATCTCATATCCTCCAGTGAGTCACCCGGAATGTCCACCCTGAAATCTCCAGGGTTCCAAGATGGCCAAGTCTCTTGAGGCCAAGGCTTGGAAATCCCACTACTTCACTTCCACTATATTCTATTGGTCAAAACAAGTTTCATGGCCAAGTCCAGATAGAAGAGGTAAAGAAATAGACTCCAGTTCTCAATGAGAGGAGCCACAGTGTCCCATAATATACAGGGACCACAGGAGTTGTGCCATCTTGGCAAGCAATCTATCACACTTGGGGGTGGTGTGGCAGGGAGACTTCCTGGATGAAGGGGTATTGTTCCTGGGTTTTGAAGGCAAAGTAGGAGTTTTCTAGGTAGCAACAGTAAAGCCCTGGAGGTAGGACCATGTGTTATTGGGTGTGACTGAGGTGCTGGTTGCTGCCAGAAGCTGGTGGGGTGCTGAGGCTGGGGAAGTGGGCAGGAGTGCCTGGCAGGGCTCAGATGATGCTCCCACCACACTACCCCCACTGTCCACCTTGACCTCCCTCCCCTTCTCTTCACAGATGGCGCGGCCAATCCAGGTGAAGCCTGCGGACAGCGAAAGCCGTGGAGGTAGTTGTCATCTCTCCATGGCTGCTAGGCTGTGGGTTGATGGAGGAATGGGAGGAGGGAAATCCTTGCACAAATGGTGGTGGGAGAGACAGAGGCCCCCGCGTGGGTGGGGCAAGGTGGTAGAGAAGGAAGTCATGGGTCCCTCCTCCTAACCACAGGGCCACAGGCCCAGCTGTGGAGGGTATGGCCAGGCCCTGCTCCTTTCCCCTAGAACTTGAAATACCTGATTTGTTTCATGTTGCAATGATGGATATCTTCAGATGCAGAGGCACTGGGGGTCCCCAAAGGACTATGGATTGCTCTCTGGGTTGTGTGTGTGCACAATTGGATATATGAGCCAGTGCATATGTGTATGTGAGCATGCATTCCTGGGCATGCCTGTGTGCAGATGTGTATGGGTGTGTGCACATGGGCATGTGTTTTCTGGCTGGTTCAGTGCCCGTCTGTGTGCGCATCTATGTGCCTGGGCTGTGCATAGGTGCGTAGGTGTATATGTGCAAGCGTGTGAGCTTGACTGTTCTAGACTGGGAGTGTGGGCGTGCAGGCTCAGTCTTGTGTCTACATGAGGCTGGACCTCAGGGTGGGTGCATGCCATCAGGAGATGCTTGACTGCCCCCCATGGGATCCAAGACTAGCCATTCTTAGATACTTTGACCCCTCCTCCCCATCTCAGATGGATTGCAGGCCTGAAGGAGAGCACTCAATCTTGGAGATGGTGTGTGGGGCAGGGCTGTTAGGACCTCTGTGTATGCATAGGAGCGTGGTAAAGCCCATCTGGGCTGGGAGCCCGTTTTCACACTCTCAACCTGGCTTCCAGTGGGGGTCAGGGATTGGGGAGGGGGCTCTGCATGTTTTCATCTCTGTCTCTCTTTGTCTCTCTCTCATTCTCTCTCTCCCTCTCCCTCCATCTGTTTCTCTCTCATCTTTTTCTCTCTTCCTATCTCTCTGGTTCTCTCTGAGCCTCTCTGTGTCTCTCTTTGTCTCTTTTGGTTTCTCTTTGCCTATCTCTGTCTCTTGGTCTCTCCCTGTCCCTCTCTCTCCCTCCCACCCCCATGAATGACAGCTGCCAGAGAACGGGTTTCCATAGCAACCCAACTCACCATTCCTCAGAGGAAGCTGCCTGGTCCCTGATTACAGGGGAGCAGTGCAACTCCCCCGGGAGGCGGGGCAAGGCTCTAGTCCCTCACATGGGAGAGGCTGGGCCAGACTGGCACCTGGCCTTAGGCTTGGGCAGGTCCCAGCCAGGCTTCCAGCCAGTCCCAGGCTCCCCAGATACCTGGTCTGCACACACATGCCTTTATTCATTCATCAGACATTGATTTTTGGCTTCTCCGGAGCCCTGGGAAAGTCCAATGGGGAGCTCTGCTGGGCACTGTGAGAATGCAGGCGCCCCCAGTGCTCACCCCTGCCTAGAAAATTTAGATGGCAGACAGACATGGACCAAGGCCAGGCAAGGCATAGACCCTAGTACTGTGTGTGGGCTTTCTGAAGAACTCAGAGAGGTGGGAGGAGCCCAGAGGTGGGAGTAGACGTTTTGCCCAGCATGGGAGCAGTTGGGCAGAGAGGGCCTTCTAGGCAGAGGGCACTGAATGAGGTGGGAGGCCTCAGGCACGTGGGCGGATGAGAAGCACAGGCAGGGAAAGCGCAAGGCTGCGTCCTCCTTCACACGCGCAGAAGAGGGCCCCCGGGAGGTCCAGGGGCCCAGCTCCAAGCCCCGGTGCCTCCGCTTTCTGCTGGAGGGATGCGGGAAGTTCCCCGAGGCTAGGACTTGGCTGAGGTGGTGTCTCCCCCCACAGGGGACCGGAAGCTGTTTGTGGGGATGCTGAACAAGCAGCAGTCAGAGGAGGACGTGCTGCGGCTGTTCCAGCCCTTCGGGGTCATCGACGAGTGCACCGTGCTGCGGGGACCCGACGGCAGCAGCAAAGGTGACCGGGTGGGGGCGGGGCTAGCTCCGCGTGGCTGGTGGGATGGACGGCGCGGGCCTAGGAGAGGGAGGCTGGATCCAGGGGGCGGGGCTGGGCTTGTGGGGAGGGACTGGCCCACAGTGGGCGTGGCCTGTCACGTGGAGAGCGGGCGGGAGGGATGGGGTTACTCTAGGCAAGAGGGCGGGGCTGGCCTAGGGGGCGGGGCGAGCAGAGGCTGTCTAGTCTCACCTGGTCCCACCCGCCGGCCCAGGACCATCTGGGGCTACCTTCCTGTGTCTGTGTCCATCAGACTGTTTCTGTCTGGATTTGTCTGTATCTCCTGGACTGTCGGTCTACCTGATCTTACTTACTCCACTGTTCCTATAAGGTTGTACCATCCAGGAATGATTGTTTTATGATCTTCAGCAACTTGTTTTCTGGTCTGCTCTGTTTGGGTCTTCAGGTGTCTGGTGATCTCTGTCTACCTAATTCTACTTGTTCAGGTTTATCTGTCCAGAACTGGCCTGTCTCTGCCCGTGTGACTTTATCTTACTAGGATGGTCCCTGTCTATTTATTTGCCTGGCTCTTTTCTAAAAATTGAGATATGATCCCATACTGTAATCACATACTGCCAATGCAGGAGACACAAGAGATGTGGGTTTGATCCATGAGTCAGGAAGATCCCCTGGAGGGGGAAATGACAACCCACTCCAGTATTCTTGCCTGGGAAACCCCATGGACAGAGGAGCCTGGCAGGCTACAGTACAGGGTGTCACAGAGTTGGACAAGACTGAGTACACACACACACACACACACACACTGTAAAATTCACCTTGTAAAAGTGGACAGTAGAAAAAAAAAGTGGACAGGGAAATGCTTCACAAAATTCACAGAACTGTGCAACTATCATCATTATTGAATTCCAGAACACCTTCACTCCTCTCCTCCAAATTCGTGTGACCTTTCCATAGCCCTCTGTCTGGAACTGTATCCTGTGACCATCTGTCTGGATCTGCCTGTGTCTACTGGTCTCTAGTTGTCTGTCTGCCTGATTCTGCCCTTGCCCAATGACTCTTCATCCCCATCTATCCAACTCTGGTCACATGGGTGTATCCATCTGGGTCTGAGTGTAACTCTGCCCGAGTGTGTCCAATCTCTCTCTGTCTGATGGTTTGTCACTTTAATTCTGCCTATCTGATTACAACTCTGGATCTCGTGGTATTGGTGGCTGGTGAGTGTTCTCTAATCCTGTCCCCTTCACTTGTTCTAATGGGCAGTTCCTGCCTCCCTACCCTGGGCACCACCTCACAGCCTCTGATGATGTGTTGGACAAACAGTTGTCTTACTGTCTGATTCTTTGTTGTCCCACTGTCTGTCTGAACATATGGCTGCCTGTCTCTGTTGTCCGACCTGTGGGCTGCCCATGTCCATGCTGACCTGCTGTGCAGGGCTGCCAGCCCCTCTCCTGTGTCCCCTCACTGCTCCCCTTCTCTCGGAGCAGGCTGTGCCTTCGTGAAGTTCTCCTCCCACACTGAGGCTCAGGCGGCCATCCATGCCCTGCACGGCAGCCAGACCATGCCGGTGAGTCAGAGTTGTCCTGGGCAATTTGGGTCAGGGTAGGCAAGGGGGAGGGGCCTGGCCTGACCATCCCAGCCATCTGGTAACCCCTGGCCCTTCTTCAGAGAGGGGACAGGGTGGGGAGAAAGAAGTGCATCTCTGATGATGGTATGACTGGGTGTATGTATGTACTTGTGTGTGTGTGTGCATGCAAGTGTAGACTATGCAGAATGTCTTGCCAGTGTTTGGCTGCCCGTGTGTGAGTATGTGTGGGCCAGTGTGTGTGTTGGTGTGCACACGTGTGCATGTGCCTGAGAGTGTGCTTCCATGCCTGCATGTGAGTGTGTGGTTGTGAGTAGGTGGGTGTCAGTGGGCACATGAAGTGTGTGCAAATGGATATATGTTCACATGTATGCTGATGCATATGTATGCATGTACACTGTGACTGCATGCATGCAAGTGTGTTGAGTGGGTGTGTTCATGTGAGTGCACACATGTAAGTCATATAGGTAAGTGCACATGTGTGTTTGTGAGTGTGCCCCAGTGATATGGGAGGAATGAGTGCATGTGTGTACATTTGTAAGAGTGAGTGTATGTGAAGGGGTGAGCACATGTGTGTGAATGTAGACAAATATGTGTGTGTGTGTGCAGAAATGTGTGAGAGTATATGTGCATGTATTGTGAGTGTATGCATGTGTGTGAGTGTGGATGGTGAGTGTGAGTCGCTGTGGGTGGAATGCATGTGTGTGTGATGTGTGTGAGCCCCAGAGGAACAGGAAGGGATGGGGCTGGAGGGGTCTGAAGTTCAAGGCCAAGAAGCTTGGGATTCCTCCCAGGGCAATGGGGAGCCCCCCCAGGGTTTCCCCAGGAAAAGGGAGGGGCCAGTGTGGGAGATAGGCAGGTGCCAAGTCTAGAGCTGGGAACTGGTGGGCCTGAAGCCATGAGAGGCTGGAGGAGACCACTCGGGTGTTGGAGGTGGCCCTGCCACCCAGAAAAGTGACCTGGTAGCCTCCATCACTGTACAAAAATGTCTGAATCTGCCGCAAGGAAGACAGGCCTTGGGGAACCCACTCTCCTTTCTGTTGTTCTGCATCATGATGTGAAGAGCAGGGCAGTCTTAGATCCTCCCTTCTCTTGCTCTCTGGGTCATTGGACATCAGTTCTAGTCTCTGGAGAGGGAGGAATCAACTCAATCCAAGGTCAGGCTTTCTCCTGCTCAGAACTGTCCACTGATGGAGCTGGTGAGTGGAGAGGTAGTGAGCTCCCCATCAAAGGAGGTATTCAATTTCTCAAACGATTGGAGCCTCACCTGTTCTCAGGTGTGGGCAGCTATAGAATCCTCTGTATGGGCCTTCATTGTTCCTTTCCAGCACTTGGGTTCTCCATCTTTTTTGAAAGTATTGCTGACAGTCAGATCCTCCTCTGCTTCCCAGAGGCAGCCCCCACTGGGCCTGGGTGCCCCACTTGTGTGCATGGCAGCCTACAAGGTCAAGTGTGAGACCCAGGATGCTGATCTCCAGACTATCCTCACTGTGGCCCCTGGGACCTTGAGAGAGGGGCTGATAGTCGCTACCACCCACACCCCTACACTCCCCCCCCAGGTACCTCAGAGTCCTGGCAATGTCCCCCTTCTTTCCCTCCCTGCTTGCGGCTGCCCTTGCAGGGTGCCTCCTCCAGCCTGGTGGTCAAGTTTGCCGACACGGACAAGGAGCGGACGCTGAGGCGCATGCAGCAGATGGTGGGCCAGCTGGGCATCCTGACTCCATCCCTCACCCTGCCCTTCAGCCCCTACAGTGCCTACGCCCAGGCTGTGAGTGACCGGCGGACACACTCCTGTCTCTGGCGGGGCTCCTGACACTGCTGTCTTGAGGGCCCAGCTCAGTGTCTCTCTCTTTCTCTATCTAGTCTCTGTTGAGTGCCTCTGCCTCTTTGTCTATCTTTATGTTTCTCTTGCCCAGTCTCTGACTCATGGCCTTATTCTGGCTATGGCTAAGTCCCCAGATCCAGTCCACTTCCTGATCTCAACCCAAGCTTAGCCCCCCACCATGGACTATGCTCTGAGCCCAAGCTGAACCCCAGCTGACAGGACCCCAGGCTCAGCCACCAAATCCAGCCTGAGCCACAACCCTGGGCGAATATAAAATCAAGACCCAGTCTTGGGTTGACCCCCAGATCCTGGCTGTTCCCCAAATCTAGATAAGCCCCAATTCTAGCTAAACCTCCAGGCTGACTCCAAACTGAGACCCAGCCCTGAGTGAGTTCAACATTGGCTGAGCTTGGGACTTCCCTGCAGTCCTGCTGTTAAGACTCCATGCCTCCAATGCAGGGTGGGCAGGTTCGATCCCACATGCCATATGCATAGCACAACCCAAACAAACAGAACACATAAAAAAACATTGGCTGAGCCCTGGTCCCAGACTAAGTTCTGATCATAGACTGAGCTCCAGTCCCTGGCTGAGCTCTGATTCCTAAATGATCCTTGAATATAGTCTGATCCCTGATCCTATGCTAAGCCTTGATCCCGGGCTGAGCCCCAGTTCCTAACTGATCCCTAACCTGACCTGAGCCAAGATACCTGGCCTGACCCCCTGCCCCCGTTTCTGGAGGACTGGCCCCCCAACCCCATGAGCCATGATCTAAGGCCAAGTGCCACTTGGACTGTGTACCTGACTCCCTCTCCACCCCCAGCTCATGCAGCAGCAGACAACGGTCCTGTCCACATCAGGCAGCTACCTGAGCCCCGGCGTGGCCTTCTCACCCTGCCACATCCAGCAGATTGGCGCTGTCAGCCTTAACGGGCTGCCTGCCACGCCCATCGCCCCTGCCTCTGGTGAGAGTCTGCCAGGGGCCCACAGATGGGGGGCAGAGCCGGGGCTATGACTCAGCCTTAGCTGGGGCTAAGGCTCCCCATGATGCTCTTCCGCTCCCCAGGACTGCATTCGCCCCCGCTGCTCGGCACCGCCGCCGTGCCCGGCCTCGTGGCCCCCATCACCAATGGCTTCGCAGGTGTCGTGCCCTTCCCTGGTGGGCACCCTGCCCTAGAAACCGTATATGCCAATGGCCTTGTGCCCTACCCAGGTAACTCGGGTGGTCCCCTGGGGCTGAGGAGAGTGACAAGGGGCAGGGAGGGTGTCCCTGGGACAAGCATGAATCCCTTTGCCTTGGTGTCCAGGGAACAAAACTACAGGAAGCAGGGAATCTTAGGTTAATAGATACTAGCTTTGTGTGAAGAGGGGCTTCCCTGGTAGTTCAGCTGGTAAAGAATCCACCTGCAATGCAGGAGACCCCGGTTTGATTCCTGAGTGAGGAAGATCCCCTGGAGAAGGGATAGGCTACCCACTCCAGTATTCATGGGCTTCCCTGGTGGCTCAGACAGTAAAGAATCCACCTGCAATGCAGGAGACCTGGATTCAATCCCTGGGTTGGGAAGATCCCCTGGAGGAGGGCATGGCAATCCACTCCAGTATTCTTGCCTGGAGAATCCCCATGGACAAAGGAGCCTAGAGGGCTACAATCCATGGGGTTGCACAGAGTCAGACACGACTGAGCGACTAAGCATACACACACACATGGGCACAGAGAAGAGGGTTAAACATAGGAAGTTTGCAGTCAGACCTTCCTGGCTTCAAATTCCAATTTAGTGGCCCTTATAGGTAGCTTCTTTACATCTCTGAGCCTCAGTTTACTCATCTGGAAAATGGGACAGATAGTATCATTCATCTCATGATGTTGCTCTGATGAGGCAATCAGTCTGTAAGATGTTAACCTATCTCCTGGTAAAAAGAAGGGTGCCATCAATCTTCACTATTAATTGTTACCATTTGGGATCAGTGCCCATATTCATTCATTCATTCATCCAGGACTGACCATGCACTGATTTGTTGCACTGGACTCTGCCCTACTGAAGCAGAGGTCTCACCTTTCTCTACCCTAGCTATACCCTGATTTCAAGGTAAACGTCTTCCCACACCTGGCTTAGGTGAAGTTTGTCATCTGGGTTTCCACCACTGAGAATCTGTTTATTTTTATTTTGCAATAATTGGCACTCACAGGGAGTTTCAAACATAGTACAGAGAAGCCCTGGTTACCCCTCACCCAGTGTCTCCGGATGCTAACATCTTACATAACAACAGTATGTTGTCAAAACTAGGAAACTGGCATCAGTACAGTATAATGAACTGAACAGGTGTTGGAGACCCTGTTCAGACTTCACTATTTACAGGCACTTGTGTGTGTGTGTGGTTCGTTCATTTTATGTCATTTCATCACAGGTATAGTTTTGTGTAACCACCACCACAATCAACATACAGCATCATTCCATTACCATGAAGTAATTCATTCATGTGACCCCTTTACTGGCTTATCTCTCTGCCCTCACTACCCCATCTTCTAACAACCTCTCTCCATTCAAGGAGATTTTTAGTTGCCTCGACAAGCCCTCTCCTCCCCCTGTGTCCTCCACTAGGGACTGTCGAAAGGTCACAGTCACATAAGGGATCCATAGGCTGTCTGATGATCAACGTGAGGGGAGGGAAAAGGGGGAAGAGATGTGAATGGTGGTGATCAAGAGCAGAGACCTGGAGCTCTAGAGAATCCAGAGAAAAAAGGGGGAGGAGCAAGGGGGTCTGGATGGGGACGAAGAGTTGGGAGTTAAATCTCTCTGGAGTCTGAGAAAACTAGATTTGAGTTGAGTGGCCCTGTGCCAGCTGCTGTTTTCCCACCTGTAAGAGGTTCCCTGAGCTTCAGTTTTCCTCACCTGTGGAATGAGGGTCATACCTGTAAAATGTTTGTGCAGAAATGAAGCCGGGGTGGATGCTGTGGGGTGGATGGAAGACTTCTGCTGCCCCCCGCCCCACTGAGCCCCTCCGTCTGCCCCGCAGCTCAGAGTCCGACGGTAGCCGAGACCCTCCATCCTGCCTTCTCTGGAGTCCAGCAGTACACAGGTAGGGAGGCAGTGCGGCGCCCCCCCGCCAACGCGGGGCACCCCCGCCCCCCGGCCCTCAGTTTCCGACCTGGGCTAGCCACTCCACGCCCCTAGCCTCACTTAGATCTGGTTCCACCCCTCAGGGCCGCCCTCTCATTCTACCTTCCCTCTTCTGTCTAGCCATACCACCTACTTTGTGGCTTGGCCCCCGCCTCACCCTCATTTGGCCCTGCCCCTCATAACCTGCCTTTGGTCCCGCTTGTCTTGTCCTGCTCAGACCCGCTCTCCAATGTGACCACGCCCCCTCATTCTTCCCAAGACCGAGCATTGGCTCCGCCCTCAGCCATGGCCACACCCCTAAAATATGGCCCCGCCCCATTAAACACTTCCCTCCCTCATACATCTCTCCCATGTGACCACGCCCCTCTGCCTTCCCCAAACCTGCCTTCCCACCCTCAGCCACAACCACGCCCCCTCTGCTCTTTCCTATGGCCTTGGCCCCGCCCTCAGACTGTCTCTCCCATGTGACCACGCCCCCTCCTTTCTAAAATCTGGCCTTGGCTCTGCCCTCAGCCATGGCCCCACCCTTTCCCTTCTACTCTTCTCTGTTGTCTTAGTACTTCCCCTCAGAACAACTCTCCCCTGTGACCACGCCCCTCCACCGGCCCAAGACCCATCTTGGCCCCACCCTAGGTTGTGACCCCGCCCCTCAGTCTTAGCCCCGCCCCACGTGCCCACCGGCCTCACGCCCTCTCCGCCCTGTGTCTCGCTCCTGGTCTCTGCAGCCATGTACCCCACCGCGGCCATCACGCCCATCGCGCACAGCGTCCCCCAGCCGCCGCCCCTCCTGCAGCAGCAGCAGCGAGAAGGTGAGGGGGCCGCGACCTCCCCTGGGCGTCAGCCCCGCCCTTTGACCGCCCCCCTCCACCTCCAGGACCTCCTGCCCAGGCTGGCTTGGCCTCGGGGAACCGTTCGGCCTGAGGTCCGGAGAGACGTGTGTTCAGTTCCCGGCATCACCTGGGTGTTTGGGAGGCAACTGAGCCTCCGTCTTCTCCTCCGGAAAGTGGGAACCGGGCTAGTCCCGACCCCATAGGGATAGCAGTGACCCTGTCCCCACCAGGAGCTCTCTCCAGAATGGAATGACTTATTTTGAGTTTGAGGTCAGGGGGTGGGGTGATGAGGTATCTCTGGTGAGATGAAGCTTCCTCAGTAAAGTCAAGTGGGAGAGGAGTTAGATTCTGGAGTCGGACCGCGGGGATTCAAATCCACCTAGTGCTGACTTGAGGCATCGTCAGGAAGGCACCTCCCTGCCGCTTGCCTTGTCACACAGCAGCCACACAGCGACCACCCACCCGTGCCACGGGGCCTTGCTGGGCAGTGAGCCCCACGGCTCCTGACACATAGTAGGCACTCAGCCTGGGCTTTTCCCCACCATAATCCATCTAGCGGGGGTGGGGGTGGGGAGCTGGGGCCAGGCAACCAGCCAGAAAAGTCTCCCGACACCCCCAGGACTTGGGAAGTTTATGGATGGCCTGGCCTGTAGACTGAGTTCTGTGAGGTTCTGTTCAATTCCTTACCCAGCAGGGTGCTGTGGGTAAAAGCTGGTTCCGATGCCGTTGGTGCTGCTGTAACAGGACAGGATATCTGCTTTCTGGAAAGTCACCCGAGTTGCAGAGCCTTACAATACCAACTACAAGGCTCGTGGGGGAAGTTGGGTCCGGGTACACCACTCAAAATGTTGGCTGTGGGAGTTCTCTGGCTGCCCAGTGGTTAAGACTCCGTGCATCCCCTACAGGGGCACAAGTTCAATCCCTGGTTGAGAAACTTAAGATACCTCATGCAGTCCTCGTGTGGCCAAAAATTTTTTTTTAGAAGTTGGCTGTGACATGGCAAAAAAAAAAAGATAAGACCCTAATAAAAATGGTAGCACAGTTTTATGCATGTTAGGTGATTAAGAAATTCATGAATAGTATAATAAATTGGGCATTAGAAGTTTGCACAGGGAAGTGGTGTCAGATGGGTTGTAGCATGTGAGTTACCATGAAGTAATGGAAAGCTTCGTCTGAAATCAGACAGAGAGTCGGAACCTCAGACGGGGACAGGTCCTCCTCCTAATACACTTGGAGAACTGAGAAAGCTATGAATGTTGAAGCTGCGTTTGCATATGTGTGTGCATTTTGCTTTCTTATGAGGTTCAGTTCAGCTAGGTGTGGTTTTCTGCCTTCACCTAGTATTTCTTGGAGTTGAGGTAGCACACAAGCAAACACAAAATTCATGTTTGCTCACAATTGTTCTGTAACATATCAGTTGTGTGGAAACACACCTGCATTTTAAAAACAAGCACGTTAGGGAATTCCCTAGAGGTCCACTGATTAGGACTCGGCGCTTACACTGCCGTGACCCCGAGTTCAATCCCTGGGCGAGGAACTAAATTCAGGCAAACTTTGCGACACGGCCAGACAAATAATCAAACAACAACAGCAAACAAGCACATTAGCAGAACTGTGGTCCTCATCAGGAAGGTAAGGGTGGATGTGAATGTGTAATCTTGAATTTTGTATTTTCTGGGGTGGGAAATGTTCATTGCGAGTGTTGGGATTTCTTGGTGGTTTGAGGGTTACCTTTGTTTGGGGGGACCTGGGAGAAGATCATCTGTAGGTTTGAGATTAGCAGCAAGTTTGAGGACTAAACTGGGTAATCAGTGTTTTAAAATGGTATTATTATTTATAATTCTTATATAAGCCATGCACTGGGGATTCTTTGGGAAGGAATGATTCTGACGGTTAGCTGAGCTTTAAAAAATTATTTCTGGTTGGTATAGCACATCATTTAAACATGACCAGTGGTTTCAGGATATCTGAGATTCGGGAATGGAGAATAATCTTTTATTTCCCTATGTTTTATTTTTGCATCAGTTTTGAAATTATCCAAGCTTTAAAAAATTAGCCAAGGTTTGGAGGGTTATCCAAGGTTTTGAAAATTATCTGGATGTTTGGGGTTTGGGACCAGGGAGTTACTCATCTTATTCTAATCTGTGATCATTAGACTTTCAAAAATGAACCTTTCCATTTAAACCAGTTTTAGTTTTATGGAATGATAGCAAAGACAGTACAGAGTTTCTGTTATACCCTACGACCAGTTCATCTGATTTCTGTCAATGACCAGGAGTTTGAGGTTTAAGAGTTTTCTGGGGGGTGTTGAAGTTGTCTGGGAGTTTTGGATTATCTGCAGTTTGGGATGAAAGGCTTTATTTCAGTTTGAGGGGCTAGGGATTATCTAAAGTTTCAGTTCTCTGGGGCCTGAGGATCAGCAGAGGTTTGGAGCGTCTGAATGTGGGATTTTATAGACAAGGGCTCAGGGCACCCTGCCTCCCCTCCCCGCTGTTTCCGTGCCCCTTCTTTCTGGGTGTCAGGGTGCACCCCTCCCCCAATAGCTGGAGACACCAGCTGTGGGCTCCGGACCCGTGCCCCTCCCCCGGGGGTCGGCCTCCTCTCCTTGGGGGCTTTATGTCTTTCTCTCCCCCCACCTGCAGGTCCCGAAGGCTGTAACCTGTTTATCTACCACCTCCCCCAGGAGTTTGGAGACACGGAGCTGACGCAGATGTTCCTGCCTTTCGGCAATATCATCTCCTCCAAGGTGTTTATGGATCGGGCCACCAACCAGAGCAAATGTTTTGGTGAGTCCTTGCTGTGGGCACCCCTTCCTGCTTGCTGCTCCCCGAACCGCAGGCCCCTCACCCTGGGGGGAGGGGAGCGGGATGTGGTCAGCCATGAGACAGGTCTGGTCTGAGAGAACCACATTTGGGGGCTTCCCTGAAGGTCCAGTGGTTAGGACTCTAAGCTTTCACTGCTGAGGGCCTGGGTTTGATCTCTGGTTGAGGAAGGAAGATCCCATAAGCTGTGCAGCAGGGTCAAGGGAAAAAACAAAGAATCACATTTATGATCAGAACAAGTACTTATTAAGTACCTACTGTGTACCCAGCACTTAGCATGAGTCATTTCTAAGATTCCCTTGTTCATTCATTCATTCATTCAGCAAATAGACATATAGGGGCTTCCCTGGTGGTTCAGTGGTTAAGAGTTCGAGGTTTCACTGTGTGTGGGGGGCGGGGCACAGGTTTGATCCCTGGTGGGGGAACTAGGATCCCACATGCCACAAGGTGTTGCCAATAAATAAATAAATAACACAAGCCCTATATAAGATTAAACAAAAAAAAACCCAAATAGACATACAGTGCACCTACTGTGTGTCGGTGCCCAGCACAGTTCCTGGCACAGATTGATGAAGGAAGCCAACAAAAATCACTGCCCTCTGAGAGCTCACGGCCCTGCTACCCTGTCTGTAGAACTTTCTCTGAGGAGTTCTATATCTCCACTGTCTGAGCCATCCACCCCATATGACTGCTGAGCATTTGGAGTGTGGCTAGTGTGGCCAAAGCACTGAATTTTTTATTTTACTTAATTTTAATGAATTTCAATTTCAATAACAACTTATGGCCAGTGGCTACCAACTGAATTGGAAAGCACAGGTCCAGGGGGAGGAGGTGGAAATAAACAAGCAAGAATACTGGAGTGGGGTGCCATTCTCTTCTCCAGGGGATCTTCTCGACCCAGGGATGGAACCTGAGTCTTCTGCATTGCAGGCAGATTGTTTACTGTCTGAGCCACCAGGAAAGCCCAGGATATAGGCCAGGGAGTTATAAATGGTATAGAGAAAAACAAAACTGGTAAGAAGATACAGACTGATAGGAGGAGGCAGTGCTTCAACTGAGGCCTGAATGATGAGGAGCCAATCATAGGAGTGTCTAGAGGAAGAGTGTTCTAGGCAGAGAGAACCATATGTTCAAAGGCCGTGGGGCAGGACAGGGCCTGCTGCATTGGAGGAACAGTGAGGAGGCCCGAGTGTCTGAAGCAAAGTGAGCCAGGAGGAGAGAGGAAGGAGAGAAAGGCAGGGAGGGGAAGGGCAGGTCGTGAAGGGCCTTGTGGGCCATGGGGAGGACTTCCTTGTTCCCAGACACAGAGGATGTTAAGGCTTAGAGATGTGTAACTTGCCCAAAGTCACAGGCAAGAACCTAAATTAGATACAATCTGTTTGACTTCAAAATCTGGACTCTGAACCCCACCCTGTCCTCTGGGAATGGCTGATTCTTGACTGTTTATTAAGCTCCTGCTGTTTAGTCACTAAGTTGTGTCCAATTCTTTGCAGCCCCATGGGCTGTATACCGCCAGGCTCCTCTGTCCATGGGTTTCCCAGGCAAGAATACTGAAGTGGGTTACCATTCCCTTTTCCAGGGGATCTTCCAGACCCAGGGATCGAACCCAGGTTTCCCACATTGGCAGGCAGATTCTTCACCACTGAGCCACCTGGGAAGCCCTGCTATATATACTCATTATCCAACCATAAAAGGGAAGAATTGTCTCCATTTACATGGGGAGGAAGGAGAGGAACAGAATGGTCAAACAACATGCTTGAGGTCACACAGCAAGTTAGGAACAACACCCCCCACCAACCCAGTACCCAGCCCCCTTGCTCCCACATCCTGCTTCTCAGTTCAGTTCAGTCACTCAGTCATGTCCGACTCTTTGCAACCCCATGGACTGCAGCACACCAGGTTTCCCTGTCCATCACCAACTCCCAGAGCTTGCTCAAGTTGGTGATGCCATCCAACCATCTCATCCTCTGTCGTCCCCTTCTCCTCCTGCCTTCAATCTTTCCCAGCATCAGGGTCTTTTCCAATGAGTCATTTCACATCAGGTGGCCAAACTATTGGAGTTTCAGCTTCAGTATCAGTCCTTCCAATGAATATTCAGGACTGATTTCCTTTTGAATTGACTGGTTTGATCTTCTTGCAGTCCAAGGGACTCTCAAGAGTCTTCTCCAACACCACAGTTCAAAAGCATCAATTCTTCAGCACTCAGCTTTCTTTATAGTCCAACTCTCACATCCATATATGACTATTGGAAAAACCATAGCTTTTGACTAGACGGACCTTTGATGGCAAAGTAATGTCTCTGCTTTTTAATATGCTGTCTAGGTTGGTCATAGCTTTTCTTCCAAGGAACAAGCGTCTTTTAATTTCATGGCTGCAGTCACCATCTGCAGTGATTTTTGAGCCCCCCAAAATAAAGTCTGTCACTGTTTCCATTGTTTCCCCATCTATTTGCCATGAAGTGATGGGACTGGATGCCATGATCTTAGTTTTCTGAATGTTGAGTTTTAGGCCAACTGTTTCACTCTCCTCTTTCACTTTCATCAAGAGGCTCTTTAGTTCTTCTTCGCTTTCTGCCATAAGGATGGTGTCATCTGCATATCTGAAATTATTGATATTTCTCCCAGCAATCTTGAGTCCAGCTTGTGCTTTATCCAGCCCAGCATTTTGCCTCATGTACTCTGCATATAAGTTAAATAAGCAGGGTGACAGTATACAACCTTGACATACTCCTTTCCTGATTTAGAACCAGTATATTGTTTCATGTCCAGTTCTAACTGTTGCTTCTTGACCTGCATACAGATTTCTGAGGAGGCAGGTAAGGTGGTCTGGTATTCCCATTTCTTTAAGAATTTTCCACAGTTTGTTGTAATCCACACAGTCAAAGGCTTTGGCATAGTCAATAAAGCAGTAGATGTTTTTTTGGAACTTTCTTGCTTTCTCTATGATCCAACAGATGTTGGCAATTTGATCTGTGGTTCCTCTGCCCTTTCTAAATCCAGCTGGAAGATCTGGAAGTTCATGGTTCACGTACTTTTGAAGGCTGGCTTGAAGAATTTTGAGCATTACTTTGTCAGTGTGTGAGATGAGTGCAATTGTGTGGTAGTTTGAACATCCTTTGGCATTGCCTTTCTTTGGGATTGGAATGAAAACTAACTTTTCCAGGTCCTGTGGCCACTGCTGAGTTTTCCAAATTTGTTGGCATATTGAGTGCAGCACTTTCACACCATCATCTTTTAGAATTTGAAAGAGCTCAACTGGAATTCCATTAACTCCACTAGCTTTGTTCATAGTGATGCTTCCTGAGGCCCACTTGACTTTGCATTCCAGGATGTCTGGCTCTAGGTGGGTGATCACACCATCGTGGTTATCTGGGTCATGAAGGTCTTTTTTGTACAGTTCTTCTGTGTATTCTTGCCACCTCTTCTTAATATCTTCTGCTACTATTAGGCTCATACATTTCTGTCCTTTATTTTCTTCATCTTTGCATGAAGTGTTCCCTTGGTATCTCTAATTTTCTTGAAGAAATCTCTAGTCTTTCACATTCTATTGTTTTCCTCTATTTCTTTGCATTGACTAAGGAAGGCTTTCTTATCTCTCCTTGCTATTCTTTGGAACTCTGCATTCAAATGGGTATATCTTTCCTTTTCTCCTTTGCCTTTAGCTTCTCTTCTTTTCTCAACTATTTGTAATGTCTCCTCAGACCATTTTGCCTTTTTGCGTTTCTTTTTCTTGGGGATGGTCTTGATCACTGCATCCTGTACCAGTGTCATGAACCTCTGTCCATAGTTCTTCAGGCACTCTGTCTATCAGATCTAATCCCTTGAATCTATTTGTCACTTCCACTGTATAATCCTAAGGGATTTGATTTAGGTAATACCTGAATGGTCTAGTGGTTTTCCCTACTTTCTTCAATTTAAGTCTGAATTTGGCAATAAGGAGTTCATTATCTGAGCCACAGTCAGCTCCTGGTGGTGTTTTTGCTGACTTTATAGAGCTTCTCCTTCTTTGGCTGCAGAGAATGTAACCAGTCTGATTTTGGTATTGACCATCTGGTGATGTCCATGTGTAGAGTCTTCTCTTGTGTTGTTGGAAGAGGGTGTTTGCTATGACCAGTGCATTCTCTTGTCAAAACTCTTAGCCTTTTCCCTGCTTCATTTTGTACTCCAAGGCCAAATTTGCCTTGCCACATATCTCTTTATTTCCTACTTTTGCATTCCAGTCCCCTTTGATGAAAAGGACATCTTTTTTGGGTGTTAGTTCTATAAGGTCTTGTAGGTCTTCATAGAACCATTCAACTTCAGCTGCTTCAGCTTTACTGGTTGGGGCATAGACTTGGATTACTGTGATATTGAATGATTTGCCTTGGAAATGAACAGAGATTATTCTGTCATTTTTGAGATTTGCATCCAAGTACTGCATTTCAGATACTTTTGTTGACTGTAGGGCTACCCCATTTCTTCTAAGGGATTCTTGCCCACAGTAGTAGATGTAATGGTCATCTGAGTTAAATTCACCCATTCCAGTCCATTTTAGTTAGCTGATTCCTAAAATGTCAATGTTCACTCTTGCCATCTCCTGTTTGACTACTTCTAGTTTACCTTGAGTCATGGACCTAACATTCCAGGTTCCTATGCAGTATTGTTCTTTACAGCATTGAACTTTACTTCCATCACCAGTCACATCCACAACTGGATGTTGTTTTTGCTTCTGGAAGCATTCTTCTTCTAGGAAGAAGAAAGAAATTTCTGGAAGAAAACCTCCATAACATTCAGCAATCAGGGGGTCACATGCCTTCCCTGAGCCTCAGTTTCCTCGTCTGTGTAATGGGAGGTGTGAGTGATATGAAGACACCCCCCTACCCCATTTCCAGATTCCCCTATGGCTCCCCGTGGGCCTCAGCCAGACCCCTCAGCCCTGATCCCACCATCTCTCTGCTTGACCTCTCTGCCTCTCCCACGGATCTCAGATACCCTGCCCCTAAATGCTCACACATGTGGTTCCCCTCCCCCTAGGGTGGCCCCCAGCCCCTGTAGCCTCTGCAGAGCCCCCCAGGAAGTCTATGAGAACCAACAGGTAAGGGGTAGGAGTAGGGCCAGATGGAGGGAATTATGTGGTGGAAGCTTAAGGTGTGTGTGTCAGGAAGTGGTGTGCTGGAGTGTTTCTGATGGTCCAGGTTGGGGGATATCTGGGGCTGGAATGACTGATGGTGGCAAAGAGAGAGACAGACACAAAAAGAGAAAAGAGAGAGAGGGAGAGACGTAGAGAAGAAACACAAAGACACACACACAAGGAGAGAAGAGAGACAAGGACAGATAGACACGGAGACAGACAGGAAGAGTCAGATGGACAGACAAGACCCCAAGATGGATGGAACACTTAGAGGAGGCAAAAGGTAGGGATCCAGAGCCTAGAAGGAGGTGGGCCTGGGGTGGGGGGGAAGACTGTGGCGTTCCCTGGACCCCCAGAAGCCTCACCTGTCCCCCTCTCACCCCATCAGTTGGGAAGCCTCATCAGAGCAGAGCCCAGGTAAGGAGTGAGTGTCCCATCTCCAGAGGCATGTAAGCCCCCAGGGTTGTCAGAACCAGATCAGGTCTGCTGTGCGCGCATTCTGGGAAGCCCCCCTACCTCCCTGGGTCGTCTGCTCCTGCGAGCGCACACCCCCGCCCCCAGGACCCCACAAGCCGGGCAGCCAGGGCTGCAGCACTGGAGCGAGCCGAGGACGCCCACGTTGCCCACCATCGTGGGTCCACCCCGGTCTCCGCAGGCTTCGTGAGCTTTGACAACCCGGCCAGCGCGCAGACTGCCATCCAGGCCATGAATGGCTTTCAGATCGGCATGAAGAGGCTCAAAGTGCAGCTGAAGCGGCCCAAAGACCCGGGACACCCCTACTGACCGGGCCCACAGCCACTCAGAGGCTGCGGGCTTGGCCCAGGTGAGCCGCTAGGCGGCCCCGCCCCTGCCCCGCCCCCACCCCGTCTTGTCCGCACCCTCTCCTCATTCTCCAAATCCTCCCCAGGCTGGGGGAATGCTGCAAGAGGCTTCAGGGAGCCCCCAGGTTTGGTTGACGGGGACAGAGCTGGACGAAGACACCCCCCGCCAAGTCCTCTCAACCCCCTACCCCCACCCTATGGTCAGGGCTGGAACCGGAGCAGTAAGATGGGGGTGGGAAGGGCAGTTAGGGAATCTTTCCTGGAGAATGCTTTGAAGGAGGAATAGTTCACCTGAGAGGTGGGCATGGTCTGGGTTGAGGCAGGCCATGGGGAGGGGCTTTTGTTCTGTCCTAAGAATCAGTTCTCCCTGCTAAGCCTCTTTGGGAGCCCTTCCTTTGGCATAATTCACACCCAGTGGGTTGATAAGAGAGTGGAATGTTTGCCCCACCCAGGGCATGCCAGGGGTGAGGGTGGGGGGGAAATCCCCAGAACAAACAAACAAATCCCCTAATGTCTGCACCATCAGAGTGAACGACCCTGTCAACTCATCACTTCTTTGGAGGCATGAACCATGAGCCTCCAGGGCCAGTGGGGAAACTTATAACTGTGCTCCAGCCTCCACAAGCCTCATCTGTGAAATGGGCTCATGCATGTGGCCTCCCCCAGAGGCTGCAGGGTGGATTCACACGGGGCACTTGGTGTTTTTTCCAGCTGGGCCCAGGACCCGCCACCTGGAAAGCTCTTGATAACTTATTTCGATTTTTCTCCACTAAACCCACCGTTGCCGCGGTCATCACAGAGGCTCCCCACCTTGGGGTCTGGTGTGAAGTATGTGTTCAGTGAGGGTCTGCTTCCAGACCCTCTGCCAGGGCAGCACCCACAGATTCGAGGGTGTTCAGCACCCACAGATTCAAGGGTTGTGGGTCTTTGGGGGCATGCTCGGAGACCCGCCACCGGAAGCCAACATCTGTGATCCGCGCGCTTTGAACACTCTGACAGCAAGTCTTTACTAAGCACCTACTGTGCACCAGGCACTGTCTCCAGCGCCACGAGTGAACAGAAATGGGGGCGGGGTGCTGCTTCGTGGAGCGACAGGGAGCCGGGGAGAGGAGACGGAAAGAAATATTTGTGCCCGGTGGCCAGACGAGGACACGGGGCTTAGCGACCCCTCCAAGCCGTGTGTGTCAACCTCCAAACCCCCAAATGGACTCTTTCTGCAAAGATAGGGGTCCTTGGGGTCCCAGATCCCAGTCTGGCCAGGGCAGGGGAGTGGGTGGGAGGTGATGTGTCGGCCTACGTGCCCACCCTCCCCCTCTCTTCACGCGGCGCCCTAACGCCCCTCCCTTCTCCGCCAGGTGAGGGGCCTTCCCACCCCAGGAGGGTTTCCCGCTTCCAACTGATCCAGGACTTTTCCGTAAATTACAACAGAGTTTGGACACCAGCCCCCTCCCCTCCTCTCCCTTCTCCCCTGCTCCCCTCCCCAAAATGTGAAACGCTGCCCAAGGCCCCATGGAGTGGGGAAGGGGCTTCATGGTCTTCGGGGGACTCCTGAGGTGGGGGCCAAGGATTCATTGCCCCCTCCACGGAGATTTCCTCGCTTCCACCCCCCTTCCCACACACACAACCTTCATGGCTTCCCCAAACGAAATCGCAACTTTTCCTATATATATATATGCATATATATATAGAGCTATAGACAGTATATATATTTTTTGAGTATAGATCATGGGACCAAACTTTTCCGACTTCTTTCCATCCAAGAGAAGGTGACCCTGGGCCAGTCACCCAGCAGGGACGCTCAGAAGGGCTGAGGCTGGTGGGGCAACCCAGTGTCCCCCCACCTCCCGCTGTCATGTCAGACCAGGGCGCCGGTCAAGCACTGGGAATCAGCCAACGAACGCTATATACCTCCAGGACTTTTGACCCCCCCGCCACCGATAATTCTCGTGGGCTTGAGGGCTCAGCCGGCTTCAGTGTCCCTGGTCCTAGCTGCAGCTTCCTGAGCCCCCTCCCCCGTGTCCCAGGGCCCTGCCTTCTCCGGATGTAGGCACAAAAGAGACCCCTTGGCCTCCCCCGACCCCTCCCCCCACCCCCAGTCATAGCCTTACTCATGTGGCCAATAGCCCTTAGCTTTCCGTCGGGGGCAGACAGGGCCGGGGGAAGCCCCCCCGCCCTTGAGCCCCCTCCCAAGGGCAGGCAGCCACCCTCCCTGCCTTTGGATCACCAGCCTGGAATTCACAATGTCATGACCAAGATCGCCACGTGCACCGGAGGAGCCCAGTGTGCGCTGGCCCAGCACCCCTTCACCGGAGATACCTCTACAAAGATTTTTTTTTTTTTTTTTGGTCTTTCTGAGCAGGTACAAAGAAGAAAAGAAATGGGGGGAAAGCAAATGACAATGGATTTTTTTTGTTTCCTAGTTGGGGCGGGGAGGGATATCCCGTGGGGCGCCTCTGTATAGCTACTCAAACCGTGAAAACCCCCCTTGAAGCACAGAGTCAAGTTCTTTTTTTTTTTTTTTTTATTGGACATCCGGTGGGGCCTCACGCCAGAGGAGGCACCAGAGAACTTCATAAGCTCAAGAGAAAAAAAAATTTTTGAAAAGGAAAAAAAAAAGCATTCCCTTTTGTTTCTACCAAAATGTGTTGACGGACCCAGAAAAAAACAAAAAAGAAAAAAAAAAAAAAGGAAGAAAAAAAAAACATAGCAAAAAAAAAAAGAAGAAGAAAAAAAAAAACTCTTCTGACAAACCTGTTTCGATATTCCAGAGTTTGATAATTGTTCCGAGACCCTCTCTAGTGTGCCTGTGTTCTGTGAGTCTGCGTGTGTGTGCTCAGGGGTCACGGGGCTTCGGCCATGTCCCGCCCCACCTGGCCCCCGCCAGGCCTGCTTGGGACTGCGTGCCGGCGTGCAGTGGTGTGTGTCCTTTGGTCCATGTTTACTGGCTGTAAATACCATTTTTATACTCCACATCAAAGACCGACGTGATTTGTACGATGTACTTTATTTCTGCTACGAGTAATTTCATGAAGTTTCAACTTGCAAAACTGACTTTTGGAGACAAACCGCCACACACACACACACACACACACACACACACACACACACACACACACACACACAAAGAGGAGAAAAAGACTTGGAGGGAACTTTGAGTTGACTTGCTTTGAATCTCGAGGTCCTTGTCACTGTGGCGTGTTTCAGGTGAGAAGCTGCAGTCACCACCTTCATGTCCAAAACGCCTCTCTTTGGTCTGGAGAAACTGAAAGTTTATTTAATAAAAGTTTTACTTGCTAAAGGACTGGGCCCACCCTCATTTGCCCTCCTCTCGTCGATAAAGACCACGTGCTTCCGGTCAAGCAGGGTGCCTGGGTTAGAGATGAATCCGGATTTAGAGTGAGGGGTGTGTGGGGAGGAGGGTTTGATGTTCCCACGGCTGAATTCTGACAGAATCATCCAGACACTGAAGAAGTGGAGCGTCCTTTCTCAGGAAGAGCAGGTGGCCTAAGTTTGTTGATTCACACGTTCATTCATTCAACAAATGAATGAACAGTCTACTGTTTATTGAATACCAACTGAGTGACTGTGGCTTCCTTGGTGGCTTAATGGTAAAGAATCCACCTGTGAATGCAGGGGATGAGGGTTCAATCCCTGGATAGGGAAGATCTCCTGTAGAACGGAGTGGCAACCCACTCCAGTTTTCTTGCCTGGGAAATACCCTGGTCAGAGGAGCCTGGCGAGCTACAGTCCATGGGGTTGCAAAGGGGTCGACACCACTCAGCGACTAGAACAGCAACAACTGAATGATTGACCCCATGCTGGCCATCAGGGACATAGCAGTGACTAGATGGTTCTGGGCTCTGGCCTCAAGGAGGCAGCCAGGGGTGGGGTGGGGGAGACACCGTACAATACATATTTTTGTAATTGGGGTAAAATTCACCATTTTCAAGTGTACAATTCAGTGTCATTAAGTACATTCACAATGTTGTGCAACCATCACATCTCTCTAGTCTCAGACGATAGAGTTCATCACCCCAAAAAGAAGCCCTGTCCCCATGAACATTCACTGCCCAGCCCCTGACAACCAGGAACCCACTCTCTGTGGATTTGCCTGTTCTGGACGTTTCCCATCAAGGGAATCACACACTGTGTATCCTCTTTTTCTGTTTTAAAAATTTTATTGGGGATATAGTTGATTTACAGTGTTGTTTTAGTTTCAGGTGTGTAGCAAAATGACCTTGTGTCTTTTAAAAAAAATATATTTATTTATTTGGCTGTGCCGGGTCTTAGTTTCAGCACATGGGATCTTTAGTTGCGCTATTTGAAACTCTTAGTTTCAGCATATGGGACCTAGTTCCCTAACCAAGGATGGAACCCAGGTCCCCTGCATTGAAAGCATGGAGCCTGAGCCACTGGACCACCAGATAAATCCCATGGCTATGTGTCCTTTTGTGTCTGGCTTCTCACTGAGCATTGTCATCATGTTCTCAAGGTCTAGCCGCATTGTAACGAGTGTCAGTGCTTCTCTTCTTTTTAAATCTGAATCATATTCCGGTCTGTGGATGGACCATTCATCCATTGATGTACATTTGGGTCTGCTTTCTGGTCACTATGAATTACACTACTGTAATTATTCATGTGTAAGTTTCTGTCTGAACACCTGCCTCAGTTCTCTAAGGTACATACCTAGGGGCAGAATTGTTGGGTCCTGGTCACTCTGTGTTCCCACCAGCAGCTCATGAGAGTTCCCATGTCTCCACATCCTCACCAATACTTGTTACACAACAGATTCAAATTGGAATGTGGAGGGAGAAATCCCCCCATTGGAGCTGAGGTAGTCAGGACCCAGAAGTGTCCTGAAGAGGTGAGACCTGAAGGAGGTAAGATCCAAGAGAGGAATTGTCTTTGGCTGAAAAAGCACACATAAGACAGTCTGCAGACTCTGCCCCACTCCAGTGAAGT